GGGGGGTAACAAGCTTGCAAGAGTTCGTTATTGCTTTTCATCTCTCAGTCAGCACTATAGAATATATAGTTCCATTATGCTCTGGAGGGCATCTTTCCATTGTTAATGGTTCAAAGCAAACCAGATGCATTTATCCGAGTCTGGGCAGCACCACTATTGGGCCTAGTCTATGTCATCTTTTGCCTTTCACCATTATTTCTCTGTTCCAACATCTGCTTACCTTCATTTTCAATGAGCAAAGACGGACCTGGCCTCTTCTACAGACAAAACCTACAGGATTCTTCTTGTCGGAATAGATGCTGAAAGATGGTTTTGCTTGTTGTCTTTCTGGACCCACTAAGGTTACAAAGCAATTCCTTCAATATTAATCAAAATCTTCGTAATTATTGTTTCCTAAAAATCCAAGAAGGTTGTCGAAATATGTGGTGTGTAGTACAGCAACCTTGAGCCAACATTTCTACATAGCACTTTATGTTTATGACCTTTCCCAAGCTCTCAATTTCTTAAAGAATTCCTCTAGAATCCATGGACAACTGAAGAACTTGCATCTCTACGTTCAATAGCCTGGTACACGAAGCATCTCGCGTTCATGCAGGTGTAGGGAAAGGCCGCACCCTAAGGGACTGTGATGTAGCCAGTCTACCCTAATGCAATCGTCAGTGCTTGATTGCACGGCTCAAACCCGTGACCTATAGGTCACACGAAGATAACTTTACTGTTGGTCCAAGGCTCCCCTTCAATTACTCTATTTAATTCAGGTTCCTTCTGATTGAGCTAGACAAATAGATCTTATTTTATGTTTTCCTGCTTATATGATTCTTGCGGCAAGAAGTGATGCATTACATCTTTGTGACAGAAATTGTTAAAGTAAATCAGCACAAATGGTATGCCTTCTATCTCTTAGGAACAATGTTCAATGTGTAAATGGATGAGTTTTTTCACTGCGTTCAGCAACTATTCACAATATAAATTGGTATTATGTACAAACAAACTTAAATACTGAATACATAAAATAGACACAATTTAAAACAAGATAAAAATACTTTACATCAATGAAAACATAATATAAGCATAGGCATTTAAAGGAAGAACCTGCCACCAGTAATACAGCTGTTTCCACTGTCTCACACCAAGTAGCATTCCTTGGATGGGCACCACTTCAGATAAGTTTCTCAAACTTTGCAAGTCCCATTAAATCACAGATTCTTCCCCAGCCTCTGTTTTGGCAATAGATTGAACTAGTTTAGATTTTTGCAACTATTTGATTTCATAAAAGAAACATGGAACCAAAGCTAATGAGCGTGATAGTGTAAAGTGTAAACATTATAGCTTTTCCAGGAACTATTATTATGGGTGCTATCTTGCAGTTGTGTAAACAATACTCACCGACACTTCCTTGCATTACACTATGATCACGCTTGCATACACTGGGGAGAGAGAGCGAGAGACCTTTGGATTAAGCTACGTCCCCTGGTTCTACCACATCTGAAGGCTTCAACCTTTCTGCTTCCTTGTAAATAACCTTTCCGTCATCTCCTTCCACAATCCTGGCCACTGTCTTCACCTATTTCAACATGGATCCCAAAAGATTATTGAGTTTACTACGTTATCAATGCCTAGAGATTATACCGATGGAACCAAAACTATATTGATTACTGGTGTATATGAGGTCAAGCTCAATAAATCCAACAATAACATAAGTACTAACAAACTTCTACAGGATATTACCTTACATATCTTATTTCAAAGTTTAAAGGCTTTAAAGTGAAAAAAAGGGACAAGGGAATTGTGTTCAATAGTAGAAGTGGGAATACAGATGTTGCACTAGTTACATATGACAGGGGAATAACTAATACAGTTAGATACAAGCTTATTTATAAATAATAGTCACCACATGTGCTAGCAACTAAAACGTGCATACTTTCCAATCGTCAACAACAACAAACCCAGTGTAATCCCAATCGTCAACAAAAATATAAAAGAAAATGTAGAGAAAAACTCCTGATGATACTGTTGCATAACATAAAAACGGGCATAGAAATAGCGTATCATGCATGAAATAACTAAAAATTTAGAAAATTAACGATATGTGCATCATTCAGGCAACAGTTAGATAAATTTCGGGAAATCTTTAAGACCTTAGGACCACCTATCAGTCAGGGGCAGACACCTCAGTGGACTAGCATTGATTCTCAATGATAACAATGAACAACAAACTGAGAATTGCGACTTCTATAACTTCATCTTAATTATGCCCAACTGGACATTGCAAGTTCCACATTTTCATATGAAAATGCCTTCCTCCACAACTTTAGACTACACTGGATCCCCCCAAAAAAAGCCTAAGTGGAAAGGTGCATACCAAAGACAATAGTGCACTCTCTCAGCCTCAATTCGTCTACTTTCATCCATACTTATCGATTATAAGGATGTGCATCAACTCAATCAAGTTGTGCATTGATATAACACTTTATGCTGCAATACTTGTCTTAACCACCAAAAGAATAACTAATGACGGGTAAGCTTTCATTGCCATGATAGTATACAGGAACCAATCATAGAATGCCTTATTAAGAGAGAAGTTGCAAAGTAAAATTCACACGATTATACAACAGCATGTCCTTCAGGTTAACTATATATTAGCCACGTATCATAAACTATATTTGCTGCTTAAGTACCACATTCAAAGCGAAGAGTAACTCTTCATACATTCGAATATTGGTTCTTAGACATGTAAGGAATTGACTAACTGTGGGTGTAGTCAGTCGGTTAAGTTAACTAGATTTAGTTAGAATTAGTTATGATTCGTCTTTAGCATAAATAGCTGGATATTTGTTCATTGTAATTAGTTAGCTCGTTTGATCAATACACAGATACAGAACTTGCTTCCTCACGCTTCTCTCATTTTCTATTCTCAATGCTGTTCAATCGAGCTGCTCAGTTCATCAATTTGGTGAAAGTTAACAAGCAGTGGCGGAGCCACATTGAAGCAAGGGGTGTTTCGCCAGAAAATTACACTATTTTACTAGATACTTTTTTTTATTTTATGTATATTTACTATATGTTGACTCCCCTTGACTTTTTGATGTATCTAATTATTTATATTTTGATACCCTTGATGAAAATTCTGGATCCGTCACTGTTAACAAGACAAAACATTTATTTCTAAATGCTTAAATGATTACATCAGGCAAAAAGACAAGCGACAATCAGAATGACATTACTCAAATTTTGTAATAAAAGATTTTCCAACAATGTGTTTAACTTCTAGTATTAGTCGCCAGCAAGGGAGAAAAGGATCGCAGGTGAGTAGGAAATTCCACCCCTTTGATAAAATTGCCGATCAAACTAATAAAATATCCTTAAAAAGCCAAAATATGGCCTTGAATGCTGCAAACACAAATTATGGTGGTCTAGCTGAATAGATATTATATTAAATAGCAGAAAAAGCTTGCACCAGATTGTGAAAATGTCATACATGAGATCTCATGGCAGCTACTCAAATTCTGGATTTATGAAAAGTATAAACCAAAAACAGTGAGCAACAGGTTGGGTACCTAACTAGTAATTGCCCCTACATCAACTCGTACTTATACATTCTAATTTTTATAAATTTATCCTTTGCTAAAGCTCCAAAGTAGATGAAAACCAACTCTCTCACACTCAGCCTAATTAATGGTAGATGCTATGTAAAATTACATGCACATTAGACAAACTCATCAAACCATTTGAATCATGGTTTTAGTAAGCAGAATAAAGCTCTGTATGAGGAGAGTAAAGCTATGTATGAGGAACTAAAGGTAAGACCACGAAACAAAATTCAATTGAAACATATCAAAGTTCAGTCCTGATAATCATTCATGTACATTTCCTCCAATAAATTATTCCTTACTCATCGAACCAGAAAAGGAACCATTGTTTCTTATCCTAATTGCCAACGGTCCTTGAAGGTTCATTTTTTTTAAAAAACTCAGCATATATCTTCCATGATGCGCAAAAAAGATGACTTATCTTTAATCTAGTGAGAGCCTTTAAATGTGAAGTAGTTCAATTTTTGCCAGCTAATACTATCGCAATATGTAACCATGCCTTAGTCATTACAACCATGATTTATAAGAGAAGTATACCAATTTAAAATTCGCATGAGAAATGCATGTCTAGGATGATTAAAGTTTTTGACTAATTGCAAATATTAATTTTCAATAGTATTATGCTAATCATTTTTTATCATATATGACCATAAAATCAATACCAGATTAGATAAAACTTAACATAGGCCGGGGTGTTATTGGTAACAAATCTTAATCCAATTAAAAACCAAATTAAGTGGTAATATTTTAATAATACTGTACATGCAGATTTTAATATATTAATCTAACATCAGATAATAAATAACGCAAAGATTATTAATCACAGCTTAATTCTTAAAGCAACAAAAAAAAAACAGAGAGAAAATACTGACCAGAGCAACCTCTAAAGCTTCGACAGCAAGCTTCTCCATGAGTGCCTGTGTACTCTCATAGACAATCTCATTTCTCAGACCTAAAAAAATTAGAACAATTTGAGCTGTAGAATACTGGTTCAAAGGGAAATTAAGGATGTGGATATAACAGAAGACGGCGCGAACGAGATGAAGTGTATCGACGAGACGGCAAAGGTGAGCCCAATCAAAAGCGTGTTTGCTGTTAAGACCGTGAATCTATTGTAATGAGTATATCTCGGTCACGTCGTTGTTCAGCCGGTTTCTCTTTCGAGTTCCGGCTCCGGCACTAGGGGTATGATGACAGGAAACTTCACTTCTCTCCAATTGTACTCTTCTTCTTCTTCCATAACCGTTTACATGACTTTGTTGCATCTTCAGTTTTGCAATTTGTGTCAGATCGTGTTTGGATTGTTCCATTTTTGCCAATTCGAATACGGAATATGTATATACTCTTTCATTCTCAGTTTAGCTGAACCTATTTTACGGATAATCGCTTAATGCATGAATATTTTGATATATATTCCTCACATTTTGTTCATTTCTTAAACGATTTGAGATGCTTAATATGATTATTTATGTTAAATTTTGGTATTTCTATGGGTAGGAATCATTAGTATGTAATTTGGGACGAAAGGGCGCGAATTGGAGCGAAATCGAAATAAAAAGGCAAAAAATAAAATTTAAGGGCCACAGCAAGCGTGGGGCGCTGGTTGTGGCGCAATTTACAGCAGCTAAAATATTTGAGCGCCAGGGCCAGTCGCTGCCCTGAACGCTAAAAAACGTGAACATATCCTATTTCGACCGGGACTCGATTATTTCGACCCCAAGATACCTCCAACTCATATAAAAGCCAACCTAAACCTATTTTAAAGAGAGGAGGACGTTTTTGAGAGGAAAACACAAGCACAGAGCCGCCGTGGAGGCCGAAATTCATCAAGTTCCATCTTTCTCCCACCAAACTTAGTAATTTTTATGTTTCTTTGTATGATTTGTTGTTTGGCTACCATATCTATGTGGAGCTAAACTTCACGTTCTAGGGTTGTGGTTCTTTCATGACTATTGTTATTCGGATATTGATTTTGCCTTTTTGATTTATTATATTAGTTTATTTATTCAATCTTGCGCTTAATTATTTAATTGCTTGATCATCAATTGAATACTATTTACGAATCTAGAATTGAACTCGAAAGTTGGAATTCTAGATTGCATATAGGATTCAGTAGAGCAAGTTCTTGAACTCGGGCATCGGGGAACGGATTCGTGGTTAGGATAGAGATATACCTAATTGGTTTGCTTGGTTGATTTACAGGAATTATAAATGCGTTCTTGTTGATTCTAACTCCATAGACATATAGGCGTTAGGTTAGCTTGAATAGGTGAGCAAGAACTCGACAGATTCTTATGAGCAATATTAACCATGTCTACCAATAAGCTAGATAAATTAGTCGGTCAATTCAATTAAAGAATACAATAGGATTGTTAGATAGCCCATAACCCTATATCATTTTCATTACATTGATATCATAAAAATCTGCTCTTTCTCTGTTCAAAGTTCATTATTTATATTTTTTTATTTAATTAGTTTAGAATTAAATATTTTTAAGTTTAATTCTTGTATAGATAATTAGGATAGTCTAATTTAGTTAATAGTTAATCACAAGTTCTCGTGGGTTCAACATCCGACTTTTAGTCACTTTATTACTTGACGACCGCATATACTTGCGTGTGCGTTAGGCCGCAACAAGTTTTTGGCAACTTTTGAACTTCCCTTTTGCTTTGCATCTTTTGAAATTCCTTTTGCTTTGTCTCTTTCTTTTGGACTATTTTTCCTATGACTGTTGTTGTGTGTTGTGATACTAATATTGTCTCATTTTTATCTTTTTGTCCTTTTGTCTTTTTGTTTTTTGAGCCGAGGGTCATTCAGAAATATCCTCTCTACTCCTTTGGATTAGGGGTAAGGTCAGCATACACACTACCCTCCCCAGACCCCATTAATGGGATTTTACTGGATTGTTGTTGTTGTTGTTGTTGTTGTATACTTTGTATAGCTATAAATCACTAAATAAAGATAAATTATTTTCAAATAAGTAAATGGTTCATTCTTTTTTGCACGATCTAAAGAGGAAATAAATTCACATAAATTGAAATGGAGAGAGTATGTGTTTGGTAAGAAGGAAAATAAAAAATATTTTTTAATTTTCTCATGTTTGATTGGGTTAAATATTTTAGAAAATATTTCCTCGTCAACTCATTTTTTTTTCAATTGGAGAAAAATATTTTCCCTATCTAGAGAAGAAAAAATATTTTTCAAAACTCATTTTTAACCTTCCTCACCCTATCACTCATCCCCAACCCACCCCNATACTTTTTTTATTTCAACAAATGCGTATTTTTCTTTTCATGATATAAAAAATAATTTATTTTAACAAAAAAATATTTTCTTTTCTTGAGCCCGGGTACTCCATCTACCAAAAAAAATGATTGAAATAGAATAAAAAATAAGAAAAAAATTTTTCTTTCATTTTAACAAAATAATGTAGTAAAAAGTATTTTCTTTCACTTCAACAAAAAAAAAAGTTTGTTTTCATGACGTAGCAAAAGTATTTTCTTTCATTTCAACAAAATGAATATTTTCTTTTCATGATATAGAAAAAATATTTTCTTTTATTTCAACAAAATAAGTAATTTATTTTCATGTTGTAAAAAGAGTACTTTATTTTTTAACAAAAAAAGAGTATTTTCTTTTCAGTTAAGGAGTACATATTTCAATATTATTTTTGCGTAAAAAGTAATGTATCACATTAGTTCCTTTGAGTTTGTGTGAATTTTTAGAAGAATAATTAAATTTTTGAACAAAAATAGAGTTCTGAAAATGTTGGGTATTTATAGGGGATGGGAGGAGAGCACAAGAAACATGGGGACTTGGGAAAGGAGTTGAGTGAGGAAAGTAACATAAAAAAAAAGTTTTCAAAAAAATATTTTCTAGTCTCTAACCAAATATTAGAAAAAAAATTTCGAAATTTTTTTTTTACTTACCAACCAAACAAAGGAAAATAAGTCATAAAAACACTCATCTTCTAGGAAACATTTTCCTCCTACCAAACACACGCAAAGTAATCACATTTTAAAAGGAAGGCATAGCCGGCATATTTGAATTTCCGCGGTGTTGAATTAAAAGGTTGCGCCATTGCGAAAGCTGGATGGTGCCCGGGTTTTATTACTCCCTTTTAGTTCCAAAGTGAAGGGTTTAAGAAAGAAATAAATTCTTTTAAAATTTGTGATAATAAATATTTATATGGTTATAATATTTTTAAAATTTTATTATGTGATTATAAAAACCTATCATTTTAGAGTAAAATAAAAATGTTAAGTTAGTGTTTTCAAATTTTGAAGATTAATATTCTCTTCTGACGGACTAAAAAGAAAATATTGCTACATAAATAAAATAAAAAAATATTATTTTTAATACTTTTCCTTCACTTTCAGCCTTTATATGTTTAAACTTAAAAGAGCACTTTAATTTATCTGTTGTTACTTTTTTTTTTAAAATTGCGATGATATATATAACAACTAAAAATACATTAATTTATAATTAAATAAGATATTAACACTCAAGACGAGAAAAGATGAATTGAAATTTCCGCAGATAAAAAATGTTAAAGTAATTTCTTCTAATCTCTTATCGACTATTCCTTAGCAAGAACTCCCCCTTGCAATCTTCTTGGTATTTTTGGTATAAAAAGAAGAAAGAAAACAATTTTCCTGAACTGATCAGGTAGACTCTTGAGACTATTTTTTCAGGAAACTATATTTCAATATCAAATTCATGATGATTCCCGCATTAAAATAAGACTTTAGAATGTTAAAAAGATTATCCAATTAACTTACGAATGCAATACTAAAGAACATCATTATACTTGAGAAGGTTAGTATTAACCAATTAAATTTACCATTACATTTGATTAAACAGAACAACACTAATGGAAGGAAAAAATGAGACACCAACAATTCCGTGATTTAACCAATTATGCCTATGTCTACAAGTAAGAAGAAAATAATTCCCAATATAAACGACGACATTAATCCATAATCGTAATTCACTGAGCCACTTCATGAGTAGGAAAGAAATTTCTTGAGATAATTATTGTAAGAGCAAGGTCGCTCCAACTGAACTAGATGTCCTGCCTCTTTTATGTACTCGATTGTCCCATTTTCTCCCAACTTCCTGCACTCATTATTTTATCCAAAATTAGATAATTCGATAGATTTGATCAATAACAGCATAAATTTTGAATTCCAAAATTGCTCTTCAGCAGCTAGAACATAGCTAGCTGCCAAAGCTAGGAACTTACTGTTTCATGTTATCAGACACTGCCATATTAAAAATCTTGTCGTCGTCACCACATAAAAGGTAAATCCTCTGTTGTGAAAGATTAAACAAAGATATTTAGTAAAGTACTACCCAAGTTTACTTTTTATTTTTCCTTTTCTTTTGGGGCATGTTTTTATCGTTTTTTTTTTCCTCCCTTAAAATATCCTTCAATTCCCTTTATTAAGCAATTGGCTAAGAACTGATATTTTATTTATTCGGTATGAGATTGACTTATGATTTTTGGGTAATTTACCTACATTCAAGAAGTTTTGTTCAGTAACAAGAACAAGAGGAAGTGAAGGTTGGAAATACCTGGGAGTAGTTTGGGATAATAGTTGCGTCTTTGTCACTGATTACTAAAGCGTCAAGAAGTTCGGCTTTCTCCTTTCTGTTGGCAAACATAACCTGCTTTTATAGTGTTTTGTTATTAAAATCATGGTATAAAAATGCAAATGTAGTTTATAAACACTGATAATATAAAGAATTTGTACACAAGAACAACATTCTTTAACTGGTAAATTTATAGCTAGCAGAATATTAATAACTTTAAAGTTTATCAATTACCAAATTAAGTTTATCAATAATATAATTACCTGCTATGAGAGGCGGATCCACCTCACAAATTATGGTGCACTTGCACTTGGAGCTATAAGTTAGATTTTTAATATAATTTTCTGAAAATTTTGTTGTATAGTGCAGTGTGAACCCATGGTCAAAAGTGGGCGTTGGATCCCCAGGTTTCACACCATATGGCCACATATTCTATTTTTATTTTGAGCTAATCTTTTCTTCTCTTTCTCTTACCCTTTCTTTTCATTTCTCTTTTCCCTTTGACTTCATCCAATTTGATAAATTCTCTTCATGGTAAATACTAAATACTAATAGATTAAGAGTTCTGATATTAGCTATTGATTATTTTTAGTTGAGATTTGTTTTATCTTGAACTACTCTAACTTTGTTTTACAATAAATAATTTATGTGACTAAATGATTAGTTACGCAGTACATGATAAAACTTGCTTCATATTTTTTTATTCCAATCAAATTTTTGAAGTTTTGTCTTCAATTTTTAAATAAGTAAAATACTTTTTTTTGGTAAGCAAATACAAAGAATTAGCCATATGCTCTTAAGGCTT